GATAGATAGATAGATAGATAGATAGATAGATAGATAGATAGATAGATAGATAGATAGATAGATAGATAGATAGATAGATAGCCACACAAGTTTATGATTCAGTGAAGTTATAGAATTGACTTACCCACAATTATTCCAGGTCTCCTGTCCATTTCAACTATATGTGGGTGAACACCTTTGTATGCTGCATCACTAACCACTTGGGTATTCCTTCTCACCCGTTCAGTTACAGGGTCATCCACTACCGAAGTGAACCCTCTGCCTTTTGTCTTCTCAAAATCTTCATGATATTTGACCTGGAGAAAAATATGTATATTGTCTGAGATTCAAGTATTAAGAACAGTAAATAATTATTGGGCATTGCCATTGGCTTGTATTCAACAATATACAGAATTGGTATCATGCAGAAGGATGTTCTTCTTGTTTTTCTTCCCTGAATTCTCCTCAAATTGGCTCCAATAAGTCAGTAATGGAGACTACAGAGTACACAAGAAAGGGATAACTGATTCACTTGGCAGATATTATTCCATCAGCCATCCTATAAGTCTTGCATATTATACAAGAGATGAGTCATCAACATGCAATTCTTTATTGCCAGTATATGCCTTTATGGCTATAGCATATGTCAGTTTCGGTGCTGATCTTTAAGAATATTTTAAGTAATTGCATCATTAGTCACAACCAATTACATTCTCATGCAAGTGTTGATACTAAACTGGCTTAACATGTGCTTCATGTTAATCAACAAATTCCCAAAGTTAACCCAGTTATTACAGAATCTGTATACAGGTAACTCTTGATATCTGCAGTTATGCCTATCTATGACTGAACCATAGATATCACTCTGATAAAAATGTAAAAAGTTTCAGCCTATTGCCATTTGGACCTTATTTTCTATTACTTTACAGATGGAAAAGCATGATCAAAGAGTTTTACACATGCATAAAGAACATTTATAAGAGTTAGGGGATCTATTCAATATTCCTATGTTTGCTCTTCCTGGATCTTACTTAAACAGCGAGTCACAAAAATTCATATGGCTTCTTTGCAGCAGCAAAGTCTGTCTCCCTCTCCATATTAATAGAGAGGTCTTTCACTTGAACACAGACCAGTCACAGTGTGAAATTTTTCAACAGTAGTGATCCAACAAGATTTGCCACAACCAAGTGAGGAGAAAGAAGAGCACGTACAGGTGTTTTGCCACAGAATAAGTCGGGGAGAAAAAGTGATAAAGTTTGTGAGAGGAAGAGAGAATGACCATAGTCTCCCAAACCCAACTTCCAATTCCTGTAGAGTGAAGATCTTATTTCTCATGATTTTGTTATTTATTTGTTTGATATACTGGAACAGAACCACAAATAAGGAGAGTCACCTCTACTTTTTTAACCCTTTTCCAAGATCATAATGTATTCCGCACAATCCATATACATAACTTTGCAAAACAATCTCAATAACCGCATTCAGAATTTCACTTGCACACATGAACTTCTAACATGCACAGGCACAAGGCAGTGTGTGTCATCCTCTCCTGTTAAGCTTTGGGATGTGGAAACAAAAGCACCATGTGACATGTGTTTAAAAAGCCACTCAGTGAATTATTAGATAAATCATTTAATTAGTATTACAGGAAGAAATTACATTGTTAGCAATTCCATTTCATCAACCACCGTGTAAGAAGAAATCAATTCTCACCAGTTGTGTGTGCAAAGCTTTGTCTGTTAATTCAGGGTACAACACAATATTGTTCCTTAGATCATACTACTTATGTGAAGAATCTACCCTACCATTGAGATGATGTTTTGTGTTTCTTTGACATGCCTTAACTCGGGTGTGTCTAGAATCAGGCTAGGTCTACCTTTCATTTGCTGCTGATCTCTGCTGTACTTGACCTGTAAAATACATCATTACACAAAAATATTTTTACCACAGTTAATCTTTGAAAATACTAATAATATTGTTATTATCATCAGCAGGATTGCAATAATATGTCCATTCAAAACCTGGATATCAACGATCTGATAAGTAACAGTCCATAACATTTGAATGGCTAGTGAATGTTATAAAGAAAGATTATTTAAACTTCAAAGAACTAATGGTATTATTAAAATGGAGCTTCAAAAAATGCACAACTGTTCCCACCTAATTAATGACAGTCATTAGGCCATATGGATGAATATATCTTTCTGTAGTCATTTTAAAATTTCAAAAAGAAGGATCCATTCTTGATCAAACAGATAAAGGTATTAATGCAAAACAACCAAAAGAAACAAGAGACAAACACCAGGACTTGCCGAGCTGATATTTTCTTGATTCTTCTTGACTCTTTCCATTTCAGGAGTGACACTCACTGAAGTACCTTTCCCAAGCTGCTCTTTATAGCACACCTAATAATTAACGATTAAAACACATATAACCTGTGATTGAACCATGTGAAGTAGTGCATTGCATTAAATAACATTTGATAGTTAAATTCCCTTTTTTCAGTTTGTTTCAAGATTATTAATACTGCATATTAAAGGATAAAAAGATTGATTTCTCTCAGTTTCACTATTTGAGGAGAGAAGGAAAATATGAACATACATAAATATTGCTAACATAAATCTAATTTACTTGAAGATGAAAGCATTGTAACTACAACTCAGTGAAAATTTATACTGTTCAAAATAAAAGTTCCTACAAGAAAAATATATACAAAAGTAATTTTCTTTCTAAAATATTTAAAAATAGAAAGTACATAATGATTGCATGAATAATTTCATTATTCATGACAGAGGCTGACATAAAAATCAGAAAATTATTATTAAAAATTGCAAAATGATCAAAAGTTCTTCAAAATCAGGAGGAACATAATAAAAGCAAAATTATAAGAAAGCAGTGCCACTCATACTTATAAGAAAATTAGAAAATTTAGAAAATTCATAATAGCAGTATTAAGAAGAGATTTCTCTGCACCAAATTATTACAGAATTTGAAAAATGGGTATACAAAAATATCTGTATTTTGGATCTTTGATTTTATTTCACAGCACAGAATATTAATAACATCATTGCTACAACTTTTACTATTTATGCAAAGCACAATGTATACTACCAGTTAAACTTACTGTGCTAATATTTTTCTGATTTTTCTTTACATATTCAGTCACAGGAGTCTCTGCTACTGTTATACCAGCACCTAATGTTTTCTTGTAAAGTACCTTTATTAAACAAAGAAAATAAAATAAATATACAATTTCTAGAAAACATTTGGTTGAGTGGGGAAGGATCTATTCCATTATTTGAAATTTAGGAGATATTTTAGTTTTCCATAAGATAACTAAATCAGCAGAGAAACTCCATTTTTTAAACTGTTATCTACTAGAATGCAAAATAGATAAAGCCTTGCATTAAAAGAGCATTCCTTTAGGTTATAGCACTACTTAAAATGCTTCATAGCATGTGAGCCCAAAACACATAGGATACGTGAGCCCAAAACAACACATTTCAAAGTGATTAGAAGAACCTTCTATGCTGAGGACGGAAACTAATTATTCATTGAGATTTGGCTTTTAATGTTCCTACAGATAGATAATTTTGGGATGAACCTGAATTCAATATTAAATTTAGCATCAAGGCACTATATTTTATCATCTGCCCTTAGACAAGAAACTGTAACAGTCTTATTTATATCAGAATTGTGCAACAGAATACTTGTCTCACATTTCCTGAAACTTTTCTCTTAATTTTCATCAAGAGGCAATCAGAGCTCATCATAGAAACTTTAAAGCATTTTAGATTTCACTTTGTTGTTACTAAATGGCACAAATTATGCTATGGCTGATGGGTTTTTTGTTTTTGTTATATGTTGCATATATCCATCATTTTATTTGATAAGCAATGCCATCATGGTGAACATAAGGATTGACAAAAATCTTGTACAAATGTGTCAGTGTTGAGTATGTAATAGAAGACACAAGAGAAGAAAATTGCTTATGGAGTTCCTAATCAGCAACCATGTAGTAATTACATCCTATTGGGTGAAATGTTTCTCACTTTAGGTTATAGAAAACACCATTGGGAGAAATATTAAATAATTTATTAAATAAATGAAAACCTCATAAAATTCATGATTCATTTCAGTCTAGAAGTTTTCTAGAGTCCTCATTTGATTCATGAAACTGTAACTAACTCCATTCATTCAGTGGTACTATAAACTTTTGAGTGCCCTAAAATAGCTTAGACCACTTAACCTACTTGGTAATTTTTTATACAGAACTTTAGAATCAGAATAATAGTGTCAAAGGGACCTTGGAGGATTTCTAGGCCAACCACTTGCTCAGGCAGGAAACCCTATACCATTTCAGACAAATGGTTATCTAATCTCTTCTTAAAACTTCCAGTGTTGGAGCATCCACAATTTCTGGAGGCAAGTTTTTTCATTGATTAATTGTTCTAACTGTCAAGAAATTTCTCCTTAGTTCTAGGTTGCTTCTCTCCTTGATTAGTATCCACCCATTGCTTCTTGTCCTGCCTTCAGGTGCTTTGGAGAATAGCTTGACCACCTTCTTCTTTGTATCAAACCCTTAGTTATTGGAACACTTCTATCATGTCACCCCTAATCCTTCTTTTCATTAAACTAATCATACCAATTCCACCATTTGTTCTTTATATGTTTCCAATCCCTAAATGTCTTTGCAGCTCTTCTCTGCACTCTTTTTAGAGTCTCAACATCTTTTTTGCATCATGGCAACCAAAACTGGATACAGTATTCCAAGTGTGGCCTTACTAAGGCATTATAAATTGGTACTAACATTTCACGTGATCATGAGTCTATCCCTCTGTTAATGCAGCCAAGAACTGTGTTGGCTTTTTTGACAGTTGCTGCACACTGCTGGCTCATATTTAAATGGTTGTCCACTAGGAATCCAAAATCCCTCTCACAGTTACTACTATTGAGCCAATACCACCTATGCTATAAGTGTTAATTTGGTTTTTCTTGCCTAAATATAGAATCTTACTATTGAATTTAATTTTGTAGATAGTGCCTAATTATCACGCCTGTGAAGAAGATCCTTATGAATCTTAAGCCTATCTTGTGGAGTGTTGTCTATTCCTGCCAGCTTGGTGTCATATGTAGGTTTACTGAGTTCCCCATCTATCTATTCATCCAAATCATTGATAAAGATATTAAAGAGTATTGGCCCTAATTATTAGTAACTAAAAATATTAAAAAGTACTAATTAGTAACTAAAAGTTCCTTTTCCCTCTCTATTAACTTTTAAAATAAATAAATACTATGATATGTCATTCACACATTC